TGGGCCTGGCCAAGGCAGGCGTGGTGGCTGCGCTGCTCAACGTTAACCTGCGGCGTGAGCCCCTGGCCTTCTGCCTGAGCACCTCGGGTGCCAAGGCACTCATCTACGGCGGGGAGATGGCAGCGGGTGAGGCCGGGTCGGCGACAGGCGGGCAGGACCCCGGGCAGGGAGGCAGTGGGCCCAGGCCTCACAAGGGCCCTTCCAACATGGGGCGCCTGTCACCCGTTACTCAGGAGGCTGAGGCAGGAGAATCCCAAGTGCAATACCGGGCTGAGCAAATTAGCCAGATCCAGTGCCAAAATGAACCGGGCTAAGGGTGTGGCTCAGTCCCCAGCCCGAGGAAAAGCAGAAGGGCCCTTCCAGGACACCCTGAGGCACCTAGCCTGGGGAGACTGCATGGGGCCTTGGGATGGGGCATCTGGGCGGCCGAGTGCCCATCTGGCTCCTGTGTGGCCGCTGCAGCGGTGGCTGAGGTGAGCGCGCAGCTGGGGAAGAGCCTGGCGAAGTTCTGTACCGGAGACCTGGGGCCGGAGAGCCTGCTGCCCGACAGCCGTCCTCTGGACGCCATGCTGAAGGAGGCCCGCCCCGCGCCCCTGGCCCTGACCCTGAGCGAGGGCATGGATGGTGAGTGGGGGACCCTCGCCACTTCCTGCCCCGGTGCCTCCAGCCTGTCCCAACACCGACCTCTCTGCAGATCGCCTCTTCTACATCTACACGTCGGGGACCACAGGGCTGCCCAAGGCCGCCATCGTGGTGCACAGCAGGTGAGGTCCTGGGAGACTCTGGGTGAGGCCATCACTTCACAGTGCGTCCCTTCCCCTCAGGAGGACCTGTCCCTCCACTGACTCAACACCCCCAAACGGCCTCCACCTCGGCGTGGGTTCGGATCTTGATCGCACCCCTCTGCCCAGCTCCTTGCCTCACCTCTGCTCCGGCCCCAGGACCTTTGCACGCACTGTGCCCTGGACCCGCCCTAGGGACCTGTCAGGCGTCCCCACGTCTGTCTCTCCTGGCTCTCCCGCCCCAGGTACTACCGCATCGCAGCCTTCGGCCACCACTCCTACAGCATGCGTGAGGCGGATGTGTTGTATGACTGCCTGCCCCTGTACCATTCGGCAGGTACTGTGGGGCCTGGGTATGCAGGGGACACTTGGGGGACGTGTGGGATGGGGCCGGGCCTCATGCCGCCCGCGGCCCTCCCAGGCAACATCATGGGTGTGGGGCAGTGCATCATCTACGGGCTCACGGTGGTGCTGCGTAAGAAGTTCTCCGCCAGCCGCTTCTGGGATGACTGCATCAAATACAACTGCACGGTCAGGCCCCGCCCATCTGTCCCCGCCCACAGACACGCCCCATAGCCCGGCACGCCCATAGACACGCCCCGCCCACAGAACGCCCCACGGCCCGCCCCCTGGTTAGACTCCTAATATAATACAGCCGAATTGTGGGGAAGCAAGAAACCTGTGCCACTTATAGCTTGCTAGTAGTGGGCAGGGGTGTCCGCTACACTCTGGGAGGCTGAGGCAGGAGGGTCAAAAGTTTGACCCACCCTGGAGGTTGCTTAGTGACTCAGCAGGAACCTGTCTCAAAATACAAAATAAAAAAGGCTGGACTGTAGATCAGTGTGAGGGCCCTGGGCTCGATCCCTAGTGCCGTAAAAGCAGAAACAAATGTCTTCGAGAGGTTGGTGCAGGCTTTGGAGTCATAAAGGAAAGGGGGCCACGTGCAGGCGGGGTGCGCAGAGCTGGAGCTTGCAAGGTTGGCAGGGCAAGCAGCCGAATGGACCTCAACATCTCGGGGCTGGTTCTGCCTGGAGTCCTCCTGGCTGCTGTCCCAGGTGGTGGCCGGCGAGGCACAGCTTCTGTTTTGGTACCGGGGATCGAACTCAGGACCTTGCACTTCTGGAGGCTGGCGATGGAACCACTGAGCTAAATCCCCAGGCTCAGTTTTCCTTGGATTCCGGCTGTACTTGCCCCTTTCTTATCCCTGGCAGAGGGGCGGTGCATCTGCTCGCAGGGGCGGGGTCCCAAGGTCACTGCGAGCCCGGGGAGCTTCCCGGAATTCACCTCCCAGGCCCCGCCCTACTCCGGGCTAGGAATGGACAGCTGTGCACCCCCTAGTCCCAGAGCCGCCCCTTAGCCCACCTCGTGTCCTCTGCCCTGAAGGGGACAAAATGAGATGTTTTTTGCGCAGTGCTTCCTGGCCCAGCAGGCCCTGGGTGTCGCTGCGCATGTCCCTTTATCTCCGGTACTCTGTGCGCAGTGGGCCGGGCCCACAGCGTCGCCAAGTCCTGGTGCTGCTGAGGTTCGGGGCTGCCCTGACGTTGTGGGAATTTAGCACTGTCCTCGCCTCTGAGCCACTAGGTGCCATTGCCACCCTCGTAGCCACAGTCGTGACCCTTCCAGATGTGTCCAGACACCGCGGCGAGTCCCTGGGCCACGTCTCGCCCTTGGCTGAGAATCACCAGAGCAGGTCGTCCCTCCCTAGTCCGTCCTTCCTGGTACCGGGCTGGCGCCAGGCCCCACACAGGCCTGGTAAACGCTCACCACTGAGATGCACCCGGCCCTTCATCTTTACACTTTGAGGCGGGGGGTCCCAAGTTGCCCAGGCTGCCCAGGCCAGGCTCCGTGCCTGGCTGTCTCCACACTCGACCTGCTTCATGTGTAGCTCTTTTTCAGCAGAGACCCATGGAGCAGCCGGGTGGGATGGGTCTGATGGGCCCTGCCTGGACTCCACGGGCCGTTGTCTCCCGCCCAGCCACAGCCTCTGCACCTGGGAGGAGGGTGGGTCCCTGCCACCGCGCGAGCGAGCTTGCGTGGGCCCTGAGGGTGCCGCGGGGGCCCGAGCCGCATCCGGTCCAGAATCTCTGCCTCGCCTCCTGGTTCAGGGTGGGCACGCCGCCTGGCTGCTGCGTTATTTGCAGGGCTGGGGATGGAACCCAGGGCCTTCGCTGGGAGCTACATCCCCAGGCCTTTTCTATTTTCATTTTGAGACACACTCTTCCCTAAGTTGCTGTTTTCTGGGCTGAGCTGGAACTTGCAATCCTCCTGCCTCGGCCTTCCATAGCGCCTGCCTGGCTCCATGCACCCCGGTTTAAGGCAGTGTCGGTCTTGGTGGCCTGGCTGGGTGGCCGGTGGCCGTGGGTGCTGTCCTCCGTGGGCTCCAGTCTAGTTCTGCCCCCCCACCGTCACCTTGCTGAGGTACCCTCTGTGAGCCTGTTTTCCTCTCTGTAAAGTGGGGGGCACGATCAGGTAGAAGCCCGCGGCAGGATGGGCACTGGGGGCACTGGGGCGGCCCGTGTGCGGCGGGAGGGTGCAGCGCGCCTGTGCCGCAGGTGGTGCAGTACATCGGCGAGA